AGACGATATCTATACAAAAATATTTTTTTACATATAATATTATGTACATACTTTCAGACGATAAAAAACATCCAGGAAATTTTAAATTAAAAAAAAACAGAAAATTTTTAAACACATTCGTATACATTAATTTCTGTTAGTAATCGAATGCGTACTACAGTACTTAGTTAAATTATAGGACAGACATTGGAGTAGGTAAATTCACGAAATACCTATTTACAGAAAACTTTACCTGTTGGATCTCTCTATCACATTATCTAACACATTGAGGCGAACAGGTGTTACAACTTACAAGTACATAGATTATACTTTTATAATTTTACAAGGTCACACAAACTCTCAAGTCTGAACTGAAAAACTTTCTTAATCAAATCCATTTAACATTCAGACATGAACCGTTGATTTGTTAGCGTTTAAAAATATATTAATGGCTACCCAGCCATTCATTGCGAAGTTTTCCCGTGGGGCGGCGAACCCACTGTATACCTAATAATACGTACGCCTACGAGACGGCGGCCAACGCCAAATACTGATTTAGAACGATCTATAGAGCATGTCTGAGATGAAAATGCTGGCTCGATTAATTTTCGTCTCTGTCGTATCGTAAACAAAGCAAATAGATGTGAGATTTATAGTCGACTAACATTATAATGCTCATGGCGTATTACCCGGTTTTTTTAGATTGATTTCCAGTAAATAATTATTGGTAATTTTTATCTGGTTTGTTGTAACATTATGTTACCTCTTTATCTATAAATACTGATGAATGGAGGAGAACAGTTTCTGCCATGTACCATAGGGGATAACAAACCAAATATATATGTGAGCCTGAGGTTCTAAAAACTAACACAGACAAAGCACACGCATGTAACAACTGTCAGCTACACTCTCAATACACATACACACCCATTCTTATACACGTAAAATTCACGCTTACTTAATGTCTTACGCCCGAACCCAATAATTAATCCACAATCTCAGATTGAGACCGTGACAGTCGATCGTTCTCCTATCTGCATCCCAAGAACCAAACCCTACGAAGACAATCCATTGTTGGCGACGGATAAAATGCTCTTTGTCGTTCCATTTTTACCGAGTTTGCACTCATATTTGATAATAAATAATAATCATATAATTAACTGTTGAAATCGAGCTTTCGTCAACTGTCATTTTCATACAAAGGTCTATCCACAGACACCGATAAGACCTCCGATGGATAGCTTGTACCTATTACAATCGGTTATTGGCACACTAGTTAAAACATTTGGATTAAGACTACTATCTCAGATGGTCTGAGATGGATTGAGATATGTTATTGGGTTCGGGCGTTATACGACTTGTGTTGGATTAGTACGAACACAGACGAAAATTGTGTTAAACCAGCACCGTGTACCACGGAATAATTGTAATCTAGTTAACAAGAACACAGGAGCTAGTGTGGAGACTAGCGATAGATGAATTTTGTCACAACTATATTTATGTCATGAATAATGTTTATTATTATCATATACATCATATATTGCAGAATAATACAATCTTAATCATAATATATTACATTTCAAAATCACTGTGGTTTATATTAATGTAATAATAGTATCGCCAGAAGCGGGACAAATGCGTATGAAAATAGTTCATAAACATGTTTTTTAAAGGAATATTTCAGCTACGGCTGAGCATTTACGTTTTTATTTAATGTTTAAAATAAGTTGGAAATGTAATCAGAGATAATGTAGTAATGGGGAAATAATTTAACTATAGTATCAGAAGAGACTTTTTAGTACTAAATAATAGATTTTCGATTATACGAAATTTTTCTTTAATTATGAAATTTCGTGGCAAATTTTTTCTAGTTCCTTAGTGAGAATCCGGAATTACAAATGCCTTAGTCACTCCCATCGTGCTGTGAGTCAGCCAAAGAATTTGTACATTTCCTTGAGACTTGTAAAATATATGTAGAAACACAATACTCAGTAAAGGCGTATTCAATGCGTGAAAATCTCACTGATTTGATACGCCTTGATTGACAATATTGTGGAGTTATAATTTTTTATCAGTCACTCGGAAATTTTCTAACCAATCATAGTTAAGTGTTTTTATAAAAAAACTAGCTGCCCCCGCGAACTTCGTTTCTCCTTAATGAGATTGTACGTTTTTAGTACATAGCAACATGGAACATTTGGCTATGCTACCCCAGAGACTGTTTTCGGTTTTCTGAGATAAAACTTTTTAGGTTTTTCTGTGAATTTTTCTCTATAAACCTCAGAGTTCATATCATAAGATTTTAATTAACAAATAAAAAATTTTGTATAATAAAAAAATAAAAACACAAAATTTTATCGAAAAAATAAAAATTTAGGGGTGGACCCTAAACATGACCACCCTTAACATTTAGGGGTTTGTAAGATAGGTAGTAGCCGATTCTCAGACTTACTGAATATGCATAAAAAAATCATAAGAATTGGTCGAGCCGTTTCGGAGGAATATGGGAACGATCATTGTGACACGAGAATTTTATATATTAGATAACTAGAAAAGCATGAAAATAACACTATTTGTTATTAAGAAAACCTATCGAGTAGATAGAAAACAATAAAACTTGAATATTCTTAAGAAATATAAAGAGTCAATTAGTATTTCTTAAAATAGGATTTTTCGAGAACAATATCGAAGAAATTACTTTATTTTAGAAGCAATAAAGTTGTCTAATTGTGCGATGTTATTACATGGGTTATATACTAATAAATCGAAATTACAATTCTATGCCTACCTAGTACCTATCAATAACATATGTATTAATATCGAGCATTTTTTATATTTAATTAATAAAATTAATTCTATAGGTTCTTGGAAGGTAAAATAAGCTAGGCGTAATTTCAAACAAGGTCAAACGATAATAGATTTTACGAAATCTTTTAAATGGTTTCTAAAATTCTAGATTATTGGTAAGTTCCCAGTGACTGAGTCACGATTTCGACGGCATAGGGTTAATATAACAACGAAAATGAACTGAAAATCACTGAATTATTAATTAACTACAAAGAAGTAGCTAACTTTTTACATCAAAAACCTGAAGGTATTTATTTTTTGTTATTTATAAGTGAATATAGGAATTGTATGTTCCACAAATTATTTTGAAACGAAAGTTATGTCTAAATATTTGTTAATCCGTTTCAGTTGACAGGTGTTTGAAGTTCGTTTTTTATACAAATCAGAACTACATATTAGATAGTATAAAAATAATGATACTTCTAATATACACGGTATACATATATATACATTAATGTCTCCAAGGGGGCGTAAAATTTAATTAAATAATTAATTTAATTACAATTCATTTAACGTACTACTAACCATAAATTCTACTAATCGTATTAATAGTATACGTGTTAGTTAATATAATTACGTTTAAAACGCGTATATAATAAAACGAAATAGCATTCGATTAAACCAGTATAGGAAATGTTTCTGACATAATTGTTGCCATGTGTTATACCACAATTACTGAGCCACGAATAATATGATACCAGCTCATCTTGCTTGCGTAGTTGTATTCGCTGTATCGTAATATTCACTATGGTCGAAATATATTGAATAATTAGCTTTACTCATTAGAAAACAGTCTAATTGCATTTTAACGAAAGTTTCTCTTTTCATCATAGCGTAAACAAAATTTTATAGAAAGAGATAGAAGAGTACTGTGGTCACTAAGTCATGTAAGCTAAACAAGGGTTTTTAAAAGTATCTCTTATAAGTAAAATAAATTATCCGGTCTGGGGTATAATATATATATATACCTATATATATACCTTATTTACATATTTGTTAAATTAGATGTTAGTCTTCCTGTTTTTGGTAGACTTTTAACTGTTTTAAGATACTATTTAACTTTGTAATTTAAATTGTCTGACGTTAGCACACAAACATCCCTTGACAAAGACGCGTGCTAACAGAAGCACTGTTTACGCAGGTGCATCTCAAGTCTTTGTTCCTCAAATTATCGCTCACTGCACAAACATGTACCGGAATGCTGATTAACATCTTTGCTCCTTACCCTCTCGCTTTATATTACCTAAATACACACTTTCATATGTGTAGATTCATGCAGCTATGCCTATACAGCACAGGAACTTTCTACGTCTGTATTGGTGATAAATAAGGCTAGCATTAGCCTACTGATGCCTAACGTACTATTTGGACCTATCCTAGGCCCATATATCAATTGCAAGCTTGGCGTATGGACAGAATAAACCATGCACTTTATTTGAACTTCCTCAAGGTCGAGTTAGCTTAATACAATTTACTGCACTTAATTTGAAAAAAAAAAGTACCTTTGAAGTAATTTAAACGGGCTTTCTTCGGTCATAATTCTATCACACTACATATAAACATCACATTATTATTTTAGTTATTTATAGGCGTGATAGTTCAAATTAAAGCATAGTTTTCACGGGCGATGACACTAACAGAAAAGTGAATCAAACCGCAAATTACATTTTATATTTAGCGCTCGTGAATATTAAAAACCAATAGTTTTAGTAATCTATAGTCACAGAATTAGGACTTGCAAAATTGTATCTATGGTTCTGATGACCCTTTGCGTTAACGGTCTTGTAATTACAGAGTAATTGAAAACTGTTTGAATGTGATATAACTGTTGATATTATTATAACTTGTGGATATTTAAAATTTTGTTAACTTAAACACAGGACTAAGCCAAATAAATAAGGTAAAGTTATTTTCCTCAATGGGATGTCATAGTCTAACCCCGAACCGTGCATTGCACTTCACGGCTGCTTCATCTCGGTTATTATAAAATCTATTTATAATGTTGACGCATTCTTATCTGATCAGCGGTCACGCAACGCACATGTACGCTTACTATGTGGGAACAACAGCTCATTACCAGCTTTGTACTCGTAGTTATAAACCCGATAGCGTTCTAAAGAATCCATTGTTTTTTATCGCATTCTCATTTTACTATCTGGCATCCTTTAATTACCATGCAATGTGAGGTTATGTTTAATGGTGAGTGTTAAAATGTGTGCGATAGCGAGATAATCACATAATAAACAAAAAATATACAATAATATCATTTATAGAGTGTCATCATCATTTTTAATATGTCAAGGCCAATATACTGGTATCTAACAAGAATGTTTTTTTTCCAGCGCATCCAATGATCTCTGCGAGCCTCCCCGGCGAGGCGCTGATGCAGCTGGGGCAGCTTCAGCTGAGCCACCTGTACCCCCCGCCCAACATGACGCCGGAGTTCCTCGCCCCTCCACCCCGACCCTACCCGCGGTATGCACCACGCCGACGGGAAAACATGCCGGCGCCCCCAGCGCCCGCGCCTTTTCCTCCCTCCTACTCCCCTTTTTTTGCCCCATCCGGCTTCGTACGCCTCGTACCTGTACAGAGCGAGAGCCCCCCAGCCCCCTCCTGCGTACCCGCTGCGCCCGAGACCAACGTCTGGTTTCGTGCCCCCGGCCCCTGCGCCCCATTCGCCGCACTCACCACCAGTGTCGGCGCCGGCGCCTCAACCACCACTTAGAGAGGTATATTCCCACTGTTTTAAATCTTATTGTAAGCTTAATAACATACATAACGAACTATATATCCAAGGTTCGTTAAAAGAAATAATATATAACCAACTTTTAAATTATTTTCGTTTAAACATAGGCACACATTAACATTTCATCATCAATATTTTGGAAATGAAACTAACGTATACTTTCGCTTGGTTATTTCAGGAGCCACCAATGTCACCAGAGCGTGGTGCACCAGCTCCCTACTTTTGTCGAGGTGCTTTAATCCGATTGGAGGATGGCTCTCTTCGGAGAGTCGAGGAGATGAGGACAGAAGACTTCGTTATGAGTGCTGAGAGGAGTGGAGATCTCTCCTTAACACAGTGCACATTGCTCAGATTAGACGAGCGAGGAGACAGGCTAGCACTCACTCTGGCGTATGATAGAAATCGTTCACAAGTAAGGATACTTTAATTCATTACATGCTGTACGAAAAACACTAAACAAATATTCTGACGTGCTGACCTTTTATGGATCCAGAAATTGTAATATTTGAATCGATGCTTTGTTTAAAATAATATTTTACATTCAGAGCGAAATCTTAACGATTTAATGTTAGCGCTCAACCTTTGGGGGCTTAAAATAGACGGCCTTCAACACCAATGATACTTAAGTCATAATACGAAAACTACATTTAGTGGTAGTGCAGAATTAAACACTATATAAGATTATAAATAATATTAAATTCTAGAATTTAATATTTTATATAATTTAATATAGAATTTTCAATTACAGGTGGAGTTAGAATCGACGGTGGAACATCCGTTCTTCGTGTACGGGCGCGGTTGGGCGTCCTGCAAACCAGAGCGTACAATGGCGCGATATGGGCTTCGGGTACAGAGGCTTCAAGTCGGAGATGTGTGTGTTTCCCTCGTGGCCCGCAAGCCAACCCCAACAGTCAGCAGCATACCGCCGGCTCCACCCCAAACGTACCCAGAAAACCTCAGCGTTAAAGAAGACGCTCGCAAAAGACGGTGGTCGGCGTCTGATGTCGTCGATGACGGCCCTCCCATGAAGAAACGCTGAACAAGCCAACCGCGCAGTAAAGAGATCTTTAGACACCTTCGAGCTATCCGATTCATTTAGTAACACACGTGTCTTCTAAATGTAAATCGAGCCTCGAAACATTCGTGACAGATACTATCGCCACGTAACTGACGTGAGTAGATGGATCGCCCAGTGATTAAAATGCGCCACTGTGCGCAGTTGTACTGCGATCGGCAATCCACAGTCGTACGCTTATTCTATTCGAGAACTAGGTGCTTATACAGTCGGGTGCTTCTTTATGCGTCTGTACTATATTGTAAATATAACTTAGACATGTTTCGTTGCTATATCACGGAATTTTCACACTCCATTGTGGAATAAAACATATCAGCGCGATTACTTTCCGTTATAACCTTGAATTTATACGTTCTGAAAACTGTATTGTTTGAAAATTTCGAGGTAATAAAGCCAAAGTCCATATTCCGTTTGTTTTGGGTGCCCTTTTTTAACCGCTACTTAAGATATAAGGGATCTAACACGATGTATATCGCTTTAATTAGCGGTAATTTTGTTAAGCACAAATCGTAAAATACCAGATCTTAATGTAAGGTAGATATTGTGATAATTAATGAGATTTGTCGCCAGTCTGCTGATAATTGCGCTTTCGGTAGTTTCTCTCCATGTTAAAGGTACAATGGATGTTAGGCGTTAGATACACATAAATGTTGTGTGTTGTTGACTGATTAAGTTCGTGGGTTTCCATCGATGTGATCACTTTGCTTCCCGCAGTCGTCTCTACTTCCTTGATGGTTGTGACTGCACAATCCCGAGTGGATTATTTCATAGTTCTGGGCATTTTGATACTTTCTCTTTCACGTAGTTAGGTTTTACTATAACTTCTGAACTGAACACTTCTGACAAATAATTCGACTTCACTATAAGTAAATGTTGTTAAATCTATATATTGTATAGAGATATATATCTAATGGTCATGGTTATTAGATGCCATCTCTATTGGTTTTTCGTCCATGTGTGATACACATAACATTTCTATGAGAAGATGTATACATAATAAACACACTGTCTGTGATATTTTGTAGTTATTGGTGAGTAGGTATGAAGTATTGCTTGAATAAACAAAATATATGTTTTAGAATATTAAGCTCGTTATTGGTAAGAAATGTATAGTTAGACTCGGCATTAGAGCGTTTAACAAATTTGTGTCTGTGATTCAACACATATATCGTTATCTCGCGTAACGCATGGCCATATCAAAATAATGTATTTACTAAGATAACTTAAGGCGATTCAAAATTTATTTGCATAATTACATGAACAGTTTTTGTAAGCCTCACGATTTCAATAATAGCACAATGTTTAAATAGCTATTCCATGACTATAAACAAAGTTTATGAAATTTTATTTGAAATACATAATTCCGTAAATTTTCCTCTTGTATATAACACTTAATCGATTCAAAATTATTCATGCTTATCTACCACGGCCATATTAGGTAGTTGAAATATTGACCTCATTCACAATACACAATTCTGCCAAACACCTGACGACTATGACGAATTTTCGGAAGATAATATGAAACGCGAAACGTTTATCGTTGATTGGCAATTACAGTTTGTATATTGCAACACTGTCTTTTGTTCTGTTGATACAATAGGTATGGAAGATATAATAACATTTTGATGCAAAACCCGATTCTCAAGGAAACGAATGGTAAAATTAGAAGTGTTTCATTGTACCGCACGCCGTGTGCTTGTTATTGTATCTATATAAAAGTTATAGCAACACATCATAACAAGGGTGTTGAAAGTTAATAATTTGTTGTATAATGTATGTAATTCTAGTTTAATCGTCTTATTTGTAATGAAAGATCTCATTTAATTAATCGGTATTTTCTAACAAGGCGCTTTCATTATCATGACTAAGCCTACCTCACAAACTTGACTAGTGCCTCGCCGCGTCTCCGCCCGAGCCAGTCGTATTCAAGTCTAAGCAAGATCTCAATTTGATGAAAATAAACATTTAAAAAGACTGGGACGCTTTACTGAATGTTGTGGGATAGTAGTTTCTTCGAAGATATTACTTAAATTATGAGATAGGAGCATTTATTTGACGGAATTCCGTTTTTCACGGGATGGACAATTGTTTAGTACAAAATTTGTTACAAAAAGTATTATTTTTTTTTCACAATCAAAATTCAAAAGTATTAAATAAGATATGACTTCACCGATTTGTTGCCCCATCCAAAAGGTTTATAGCTAACATTCATAGACAATTATCAATTTTCCCATCTGTCAAAATAGAATGACCAATTGACAGATCGAAGAGTTATCACTTGTGTTTGAATCTAAGCCGATCTTTTGTAGTTTGAGGCGCAAGATTGTACGAAGATGACATTAGTTGTACGTCATTCTGCATGCACATTGTCAATGCTTAAAAGCTTTATGGACCCAGTTTCTTATTAAAATCGATGGATTCATCTCTTAGAAATTACATTACGGTGCTAAGTGCAAGTTCTAGCACAATCATGAACGGTTTCGACTCAAAGAGTCATAAGTTAAGCTCATTTAGGTTGGTTGTAAATAGTTATTGGCACAATCGATGTTCTTCCGCATCCCTTAGGGTATTTTCTACGTATATTTGCTGAACTTTGAGTTTACTAATCCATTCCCTTGTTTCTAGCAATCATTTTACCCACATTTATTGGTATCTTAAATATAAACCAATTTAATTTTTCCCTCATGTCTATGTCTTTTCTCAGTCGAGTTGTCAAAACTTATGAAATTAATATTCTAAATTTGTAATTATTAGCTCGAATGAATGAAGAATGACTGACCCATAAATGTTATAGATATAACAATAGTAGGCATTAAATATAAGTGGCCAAATATTGAAAGGTCAATCAAAAAGCTTCGTACTGACGCCATTTGTAAGACGGACATATATTTGGATTAACAATTTGATTGATTTTTAAATATTCTGGTATAATGTTGCCAATGTTAAGTACGGCCAGTAATGGTTTTACGCCCAAGTTTTATATTTAAAATGCCATACGTAATTTCTACGCTTCGTACATTTTCCTATTGAAAACAGAGGCAGTGAAATGCTGCCTACAACATACGGTTAGTAGGAAATACAATTGGTATTATGAATATAATCGGGGCTTTAGTAAACAATAGCCAAACAAGGATATTTTGACACAAATCATTGTGCCATCCTCATCTCGGTAAACAAATGACCAATGGGGAAAATCCCTTTAATTCGATATAAAATAGATTATAATATTGTAATTATAACAGATTATAAGCGTAATGTCGTAAACCAGTCGAAGCATTGAAGGTGTTGAACGCCCAATTTTTATATTGACGTTTCGTCTCATTTACGAAATCACGTTTCCAATATAACCAATTGCGAATGGAATGTGTCATTTTAATAGATTATAAATTGTTATATATGACAAATATATGTATATTTTATTGTAATAATTAATATTTCAGATTAATGTAAATTGAAGTGTTATAGACCGAGATATTATGTTAAATAAGTTAACTGTTTGTAAAAAGGAGAAATATTATGTATAAATGAATATTTGCTATCACTTTGTTTTATTTAGTTTGTCCTTATAATAATGGAAATACAGAAAAGTGTGTTTGGCTTAGTTCTGTACAGACAAAAGTAACTTGTCAGTAAACGTTTTGAAAGTTAAAGACGCAACCAGAAATAGGTCCGATTTCGTTCTGGAAATCTTAAGAAGAATTAACTGTATCAGTAGAATATGCTTAAATCTCATGAATCTTCAATCTACATGAAATACAAGTATCACAATATAAACAATTTAGTAATTCAACACAAAGTACAAACCAGTGTATAAAATGTGTTTTGTGTCAAGTGTATCACTTAATTGCACAGAAGAAACACTTAAAACTTGCACAAAAGAAACAGTAATAAAAGGAAGAATGAGTGCAACGGCCCTTATCGCTTATAAGCGTTGTCATCGGGCAAATCTTATTTTAAAGAAGAATAATAATAAATTAAAGATAAATAATATTGTGGGGAACTACATGTGACTCTAACATAACTAAAATCCAAAGAACACAAAACTACATCCTTAAACAAATAAGCAACTCGCCTTAGTTCATAAGAAACGCCGAAGTAGATGAACACCTAGGCATACCAACAGTCAAGGAGGAAATAAAAGTATACGCTCAGAAGTACAAGACTAGGCTGGAAAATTATCCTAACCATCTAACTGTTCAACTCACCCTACCGGAGTATATAAACCGACTCAAAAGACGAAGAACCCTGGAGCTCAGCAGCATTGACTGAGCTAATATTATTATGGTAGATATTCCTAATAAGGAATATCTCCACCCGCAAATCATCCTAAAACTCATCTGCTCATAGACTGATTGCACGATGCGCTCTATAAAAAATGAAAAAAGATAAATAAATGTTATATAGTGTCAAGATAATCTTTAAAGCTTGTTTTCTAAAATCTTTATCGTATAAACAGATAATCCCTACATATTAAACTAAAAATAGTGCTATCTTGCTAGATACGTATTGATTCGCCATTCAGTATTTCCAGTATCGTAGCCATGCCTATTCCAGTAGATTTTGATCTTAAGGCCCTATCCCAGCATGAATTGCTGTGTCAGTGTCTCAGGGTGGTCTGCGAGACTCAGTGGAGAGCTGTAGTACTGAAGCGCGCCGCGCCGACCCGTAATAATAATTAGTTATGTAAAACATTAAATTAATGTAATTTTGCGAATTTTTGAAATGGATTACTTGCGATAAAATATATCGTGTAAATTTCAAAACCATGTTCTATATACATTTTCGTCATAAAATGAATTCAAAGTGTAAAAAATTGTCTATGTTTGGATTTTTTTCTATCGAGCGAAGTTATTTAAATCGTGTATCGAATTTTCAAATGGATACATAAACTACTCAACTCCACCATATATTTTTTCCATTCGCCCTACTTCAAGAAACGATGACGAAAAATGGAAAGTAACAATGTACTTTTTTGGAGTTTGCCGACCAGATAGGTCCTTAACAGTGACCGATGTATATTATGTACTCAGACAGCACTTGAAAACAATTGAAAAATGAAATCATTGCAGTCGCAAATTGAAGATGTCGCTACAAGCTTTTGACTTTAAAGCAATATCCTATTTTAATCTGACACAAATAACTTGTATTCTTGGTGAATTATACTAATATGCTACCTTGAATAAACGTATTTGTCTATTAATTTATGATAATATGTCTCGGTTTGTTATTTAGTACAGGATAGAATAGCGGGAAACAAAAGGAAGATGGATTTCGGGATATTCAACCCCTTAAATGCATTAGGTGTGAGGTATGTATAGAAACCTATATAGATAGAGGAATAAAGAAGCGGGACGAGCGAACAAAGCTAAATTAATATTATAAAATTGACTACTAAACCCTACTACAAAAATAATGTTGAGTTACATAAAGCGCTTGAAAAATCTTCAAGGCCGGAATAATAAAGCAAAAGTAGTATAATTGGCATAGAATAATTTTCATACAAATATTTTCCTCGTGTGGATTGCTTGCCGACGAATTCTTTAAGTTTTTCTATATTTGCGAATAGTGCCATCTAGGTTTAATAATTGCAACTGCGAGGTATTATTACTTTAAGAGAAAGATGTACCTTCAGATTCAGAATCGACACGGCGCTAAAGTATGACAAATCCAAAGTATCTTTAATTTTGATAAACGGTAGTACTAGTCATAGTTGGTACTAATACCCTAGCTTAATCCTAAAATGTATGGCACTTTGAGGCTAAAATAAAAATACAAGTAAGTTAAAATTCTCTTTAATTGGAAGCTACAATAAGCACATTTGCTATCACTTTAATAATATAATATTACGGGATAAATAACCATTAGCCATTTCCTTTAATTATAATTAAATTCAGCGTAATTCATATATCAGCTTTCAAGTCGAGTTTAACTTTCTCTCCGGGTTTGAACGCTGGCATCCCTAGGTAAGGACATGTTGCACATCGGAAAGCGTCGCCGAGGTAACACTGAAATAAATAATCTGATATGTGCTTTAACTAAATAAACATGGCGTTTTGGCCCTCGATAAACGTAGTATTTTTATCAAAGTTTTTTTGTAAAATTAAGATACAAATCTAATATCAAGATCTGTCAAACCAAATTTAGATTCTATCGTAATTACTTCGTCGTAGACTCTGTATGACTTGCCGTTAAATCCGGTTCCTAAACGAAAATTTCCGCCTACAAATTTATTATAAAACAACAAATAATCACGAGAATAACTGCACTATATATTTTAAACAACCGACAACCATTATTTGAACAATAATAATTATAAGTAACGTTTAGTCGCGCCCTGGTTTTATAGCTGAAACCTCCGCCTCACTACTACGCACTTTATTTTTTTTTAGCTTATTATTATTATTATTAAACCATTAAACGATTACGCTTACGACCTTGGAACATACATTCATTTTTCATTTCAGTTCAAAATACCCACTGTACGTGGAACGGCACAACGTTACTATAACTGGCTTTTTAAAGGGAATACTGAAAAGAACTGACAAAACCTTCGCTCTTTTATCGCCAACACTTTATTTTTTATTATTATTTAAGACACTTGAAAACCGCTGCAGACCATTCTCTATTTCCTAATATATTGAAATTAGTGTTGCCCAAAATCGGTCTTGGTCTTGTTCTTGCATTTTCGCAAGACCAAGACTGGAACCTGCAAAACTTAGACCGGAAAGCCTCTTGCGTCTTGCAGTTAAGACAAACTGAGATTTGGGCGTTATTAAAGCCCGAACCCAATAACCTATCTTAATCCATAATGCACCATCTGAGCTAATAATCTTAAACCAAATGTTGTAAAAGTGTGCCAATAACCAATTGACGGATTGTAATAGCCATCTGTCGATACAAGCTATCCATGGGAATGTCGGATCGGTGTCTGTGGATAGACCTTTGTATGAAAATGTAGTGTTGCCCAAATGCAAGACCAAGACGAGACATAGGTCAGTCTTGGTATTGGTCTTGCGACAATACACCTGGTCTTGATCTTGGTCTTGGTATTGCGCTCTCAGTCTTGGTCTTGGTCTTGATCTTGCAGCAAGAGTCTTGCAAGTCTCGCAAGACTTGCAAATACCTATTAGCCTATTGCTATTTATTGAACACGTTAGTTTAGATTTTAGATTATGATTCGCACTGTAAGACGTATGTAGTTGACTCTGTAACTACATACGTCTTACAGCGCGAATAATATTTTAATCAACAATCTAGCACTAGCCTGCAAATTGCAAAAAAAAAAATTGAGTTTGGCGGGCTATCCTATGCTACCTATGCGGCTAAAATAAGGAAGTGCGTGTGTGTTGAGATTAGCAGATTTCATTACAGTGTGCGTAGGTACATTTTTTAGGCAATTTGTCGTACTCGTGACTGGCGCGCTTTGCTACGTAGGTACAGTCATTGAAGTATGTGTAAGTAAGAAACGATGAAGGTACCTACTTCAACAAAATTGTATTATTTAGAAAAATAACGACGATTATTTTTATTTATTTAGTAAATCATCGCTGAAGACAATAGTCGCTATTAGAGTAGGTACGATAGAAGTTGATAAATCGACACTGCAAATCTCGATTTTTGGAAGTGTGTGATTTTAAAACAAAATACGTAAAGTAATATGACGTCGCTCATATTTGGAGCTTTTCCACGTTTCAAGTTTGTTAATATCACCCACTTCCAATTTTGCAGTGCAACGTCCTTTAAAAAGGTATAATAGGTAATAATAATAATATAAAATATGTATATTTTTATTACTTACAACAATTTTTATAATATCTACCTATCCTTAGGACTACATTCTTCCTTGCGAGGACAACATAATCTATTTGCGTCCGTTCTGAGCACCCGGAAACTTATTTTATTCTTTAGAACATGGGCAGTGGCGGCGACCTTTGACATGAAAGCGACGGCGGCAACACAAAGTCTAGAAGCTGACTAAATTTTTACCTATTTTGGTGGGGTTGTCAATGTTGGCATTAGCACAGAAAAATAAAATTAAGTTAACACAACGTTTATCCACTTTTTAATAACTAGGTATCCACCATAGAATATTTTTTCTACTAATTTCCTAAGTACTCAGTCTAAATATCTTTTTCATAATTTTTGTTTTTCAATAATTTGTTGTGTGTAATTGAATGGTAAACTCTAAATCTTACTTAATAGCTTTTTTTTTAAATAAACTTATGGAAAGCACTGACATGGCATAAACACTTTTCAATTATGCTGCTCACATTTTAGTACCTAGGTATCACTCACTATCTATCATTTACCGATATTAACAATTCAATTCAATAGATGCAATACCTACTTAGTTATTAATTATCATCTCGCCCGACAGCTTTAAACGCTGTAGTGTTCGAATTCGAGCCAGTGTGAGAATGTATTTAAATACAAGAAACTCAGAGCATTCAATTTATACCTACCTACTGCTGAGACATCTTCAAGGTCATTTAATTTTATCCTCCTGTACCAACTCTACCAAAATAGGTAACAATTTTGTGTGCCTCTGTCCGGACTCTTTGTCGGCGAATGCGGCGCTCAAACAGTGTCAAATGCTGTGATACACTCGTTGCAAACCGCAGCCTCTTTGTCGGTAAATTATCAAATAAGTAGGTATATAATACACCGACCGACCAACAGTTTATTCGCAGAACGTCACATTTTCCCAATCAACCTTGAACCTTAATTCTTTAGCGATAAAGTTGAAAATCTGTTAAAGAAATTTGACCGATTGTAGTACCTTGATGTGCTGGCGTCTGTACCATAATATTGGCTGCCATAGAAACTGTTACTAGACCTACTCGACTCGCAGTTAGTTTTAAATTTTGCTAAATAGAAGAATAATATAAACTTTGAAACATAAGTAGGTACTTACATAATGTTTATATAATTTTGTTGGCTATAATTTTAAGCACATACCAACCTACGAGTTCTAACGTTAGATCTGCACATTAGACATAAACAAGAATAATACATTATTATAGGTTAGTTGATACCTACAAGGTATAATCTTTGCTAGAAAGTTATTCTGGGTAAATTTTATCACATGGGATGATGGTAACAGATTTGTGAGTATTAACATGCTACCTACTTAATAAATTGTTGAAATATAATAAGTACTTACCTACCTAATCAATACAATACCTTTCAGGGTTCTTTCAGACGATCGGCACGTTTAGTGTTATGACGATACCAACGGTTTTGATACTGGGGAACGTTTCTCAAAATCGAGAATGAAACCAAATACCTACTTAATAACGTCCAAATCTCAGTTTGTCTTAACTGCAAGACGCAAGAGTCTTGCAGGCTTAAGTATTGTCTTGCTCAAGTCTTGCAGGCTTCAGTCTTGGTCTTGGTATTGCTAAAATATGGCGGTCTTGGTATTGGTCTTGGTCTCGCGAAAATGCAAGAACAAGACCAAGACTGCAAGACCAAGACCGATTTTGGGCAACACTATGAAAATGACAGTTGACGAAAGCTCGATTTCAACAGTTAATTATTTTAACAGATTTTAACTTACACCAGTTTTTTTAAATAATTAAAAAAACCGTTTGCTATGTTTTAAACATACACATGAATATTTTATAATAATAGGCTAATAGGTATTTGCAAGACTTGCAAGACTCTTGCAGCAAGACCAAGAGCGTAATACCAAGACCAAGTGTATTGACACAAGACCAAGTCTCGTCTTGTTCTTGTATTTGGGCAGCACTAATTGAAATGAATCATACTAATAACAAAATCGTTTAGCCTCTATCAGGAATGGGGAAAAAGTAGTACTTTTTCGAAAAAGCGTTACATTATAATGAAAACAAAACGCACAGACAGTTAAAGTTGAAGATTTGCACAATATTTTGAATATTCTTGAAACTTACACTCCCACACGACGATTTGGGTGTATCCTTCACTTCGCCCTTCAACTCTTCAGCAAGGCCGCAGGTACAATCTGCGCAGGCTTTACGCTTTCCCGTGGTGGCGCATACTGTAATAATAAGTATTCTTAATTGCTACATATATATGTATAGTAGAGCTCTTGACTATCTTTTAGGTTTTAGCTATGAAAGATAGGACAAAACATGTGTCATGTTAACCATGGTGGGACCGAAAAAAATAAATTTGCCACGGGCCCCAGATGGTATAGATACGCCACTGCTGTATTTGAAAAAAATGCTTGTAAATTTCCGTGCCTCTCACGTAAATAATAATAATAATATATTTTCATTTCAAGGTCCATTCTGGTTAGTAAACATACAACACATCCTTCCGTAAGTGGTATGGGATATATGACATAGAGATTTTATTTGCGCACACGCTTTTGCAATATATTGCACCGATAGCTTATCTAGATAAGCTGTTTATCAAATCATAAATACAACACAAAATATATTTTAACTCTTTTCACGTCCAATATATTTAATAGAACCTAACCTATAGCATACCAGTTCGCAATAGAAACTAGGAATCTCAATCATACAGTATTAAACCACAATTAAACTTATTCGCAACAATTATTTTAAAATAAAACTCAAAATATCAACCGCAAGGTAAAATGAATAACATTGGAACACAAAACCTCCAACACTCAGTCATTGACAAAATAATGATTTCTATCGTCTCGGAACACGTAACCTCGCAGCGGTCGGAACACAAAACCTCAACGTTGTCGATTTAATATTGCTTTCGTCGTAGATTCAACGTTAAATTACAAAGCAAATTACCGAAAAAATTAAGACATGTTTTTTAATATGTTCAATGTTTATACCAATTATTCAGATTTCAATGAAATTCAATTTTATTCAAATTATGTAGACAACAATTATTACAGGTCCACATCATAATTATCAGTTTTCATCTTAAAACTACATATTTAGATTAATTAAGTTGAATAGTTTTGGCATTATGAATATATTTTTTTTGTTATTTACAAACAATTATAAAAATAAAGAGTACCTGACAAAGATGCCTTATCAGGGCGTTTCAGATCATCTTCGTCTAGTAAGTTGTCAGCATCAATTGTTTCATCATCATTGTCTTTTGACCATGCATCTTCAACAGTGTCGTCTAACTTCCACACCATTGGTTTACTATTTAACTTCAGTGAAGCTTTTGAGCCTACCTAGAAAGTGGTTTCACAGATGCCTCTTTTGTACAAGTAAAATATGTCTTAAAAAAAACAACATAAAGTAGCAAGGCATCAATCAATCCCTCTTAAAAGGCTTCTTTGAAATGGTGCTTTTGATTATTTACTCATGTATTTCCATAAAACTTTACAGAAATGTAATAATATTCTAAATTTTTCAGAATAATTAATGCTATTTGTTTCATATATTCCTTATTTACTATAAACCCAATTAAAAAAAAAAAAAAAAGGGTTTCAAAAAATAAATTTTAAAAATTATCTGCAATAACAGATAAGAAATCGTCCCTTAATATATCATTATTATTTATTTAATTATTCCATTACATTGCATATTTATCAATTTCATACCTCAAAGTTGGGTTTTTCAGCAACAAAAGTATTTTCTGTATTGGAAACATTAACAAAGCCATTTAACTTCAATACTGAGCTTATATCATTATTCTCTTTCAAGATTAATTTACCACTGGGCTTTAAGAGTTTAATCAATATTGCAAGCAAACTGTCCTTATGTTCTATGGAATGCGGTGATAACCAGTTTGATAAAATCACATTAAATGAAGATTGTGGTCTCGAACCTAAAATTAAAAAGAAATATATAAAACATACATTATTTTGGTAGGTATAAAATTATACAATCAACCATGGGTTGAATACTTACCTTCTGAGATCATAGCAGAGTTTTCCAGTATTGGTGGGATGTTTGTAATATTTAGGATTTCATTGACAATATCATTAATTTCGTTTTCTCCAGAGTTATTCCAGACTAACAAAACTCTATCACCAGCTTTAATATTTTCCATTTTTAAGGTTACACAAAAGAAAAGCAAATACAAACTTGCAGACTGAAAATCCTTCACATAAATAAAACTTATTTATGAACCACTAGGTCACGAATGAGAGGCTAAAATGTAGAAATCTATTATTATTAAATTCAAAGGTATATTAATTCTTTGAGTGAGTATAATTTACTCGTCGATAGTATATTGAATGATAATGAACTTATCAGTTAACCAGTACTCTCAACTCTGTACTGTGCAGGAATGAATTATGAAATACTATAGAAATTATAAAAGCAATTTTTGACGCAAAAATTATAATCGATTATTTGATATTCAATTTGAATATGAATTTTCCACAGATTATACTGAATTCAACAATCGACACAGACTATGACTTATAATCGTTAATCGTTCGGTTACTAGAACAAAAAGTGCACGGGCAATGGCAAATTCATTTATTTAAAAAATAGAAGCAGTAGGAGTCTCTTCCGACGATAGAAAGATGTGAATTTTCTCATATACAAGTAAACACAATGTTTTCAAGTATTATTTGCGTTTTAATTAATTGTTATAGCCGCCAGTCCACCCTATCTGCGTCATGGCATTTGAGGTCGCAGCAATGCTATAAAATTACCTTTTTAGTTATGTTGCCAATTATGTCGATAGGAATTATCTTGATACTTAATAAATTAAAATTATATACTATTTGAGAATTCTATACTATTTTAGAAATTCAAATGACTGAAACGATGTCTATATAGCAAATCTGGTTTTCTTTCCTTACATGATGATGGTGATGATATTAATTTATCCCTAATGGGAAAGACCAGTGCCGGATTAAGCCAGCGCGGGGCCTGTAACAAATTCTTCTAAAGTACAGTCTAGGCTACGTAAACTCGCAAAATAAATGTATACCTAAATAAAAATAAAAATCTGAACGGAGGAACAAATAACATGCTAGTCTAAATATATCGATTATAATTAAAATTTGAAAATTAACGTTAAAAAGTTAAATACCTACTTATTTTTACGATTAAACTTGACGAAGCCGAGTTTATTTTTATGTGGAAGTGAAGCATACACTAAGCGCTTTGCGTTAAAGGTATGCAAGATATTTTACGCTCCTATCTAAATTAATACTCTTCTATTTCGATTAGACAGGCGTTGGAGCGCGGGGCCCCTAAATTCGAGGGGCCCGTAGCATTTGCTACTCTTGCTACTTGGCTAATCCGGCACTGGGAAAGACAAAGAACTTTAGTCCATACAGCCAGGTCTTTTTCCTTACATGATCCGCACATAACACATCGGTTTATTCTGACCACAGAGTAGAATAGATTAATCAGTTTGACAGTTAACTCAGATATGAGAGAGCAATTGACACTGGGCAATGGGTTTCAATTTCAAAATGTTATCTAAATAATATCATTATTATTGTAATTCCTTAATGAAAGTATAAGTAAAACTACTTGCATACATTAAACTTTAAACTACTATGTTGAATGAAGCATTCCTATCGGGAATTTGGTCCTCAGCGGGGAACGCGTTAGGAAAATTAGCCGGAACACAATCGATAGTGGTTAGTTGTTGCTATACTATATTCTTAGGTTTATTAAAACTGAAACTTACATTTAAATTTTTTATACATATATGGGTTATGTAGTCTTTTATGACTGAGCTCTGTTATCATTATTTTAGTTGAATTAAAATATGTACCTATTATATTTTTTTATTAAGGTATATCATATATCTAAATATTTGTTTTGTAGGGTGACAGCTATGTGCTATGGGCTACAATACTACTTACAATGGTGATGGTTAACACATGGAGCCTAAGACATTACATGAGGTCTCTTGATGCAGCTTTTACCACTGTTGTACCTACAGTTATATCCTCTGCATCTAGTTATGTTTTATCAGTAAGTTTTAAACATGAATGATATAATAGATGCGATTTTAACTGTGAACTAAAAAATACTACTTTTAATTAGAGCACAAACTATAACGCTAACTGAACACCCCAATTTAGAAACAAAATCATGCTTGCAGTCAATCAGCTTTTTTTAAACTTCTAAATAAAAATTTGTAAGTCTAATATTCTCTAAGTCTAATAAAACTATTATTTCAGGGCTTAATTGGCATATTTCTGTTTAATGAAGCAACTTCACTAAAATGGTGGATGGGTGCAATACTTATTATTATTGGACTTGTTTTGATTACTTATCCTAGAAAATAAGTTATTTACTATAAGTTAAATACTATTAATTAGTCCCCATGAAGTCTTTAATAAATGTATATTTTTTGTCCATCTATAAAATATAAGAAATCTGTGATGATAGACTAAGGAATATATTTATCTCTATAAAAAATATATTATTTATCTTTTATAAAATATTTTAACTCAAGACTAGACTTTTATTCCAATCAGTAACAGTCTCCTTGGATATAATACAAAATAAAAAAAATCCCTTACCATAATTATAGTAAACCTTTATTAACTGTCATATTTTTATACAGATAAAATGTGAAAATGACACTTTAATATATAATAAATTATAAAAATTTACATAGCACAAATATATTATAAAGTTATATTTTGTTCATAGTGTTTTGTATATTATATCTAAAAAGAGAGATATTTATTTGTGTGTACCTTCAAAATGTAATTGATTAAAATGTTTTTGCTATCACTTGCATAAAATACGGCCGGACCTGTGGTAGTTAATCGATTTTCAAATCGCGGAAGTCAAGGATTGTCGAGCGCACATAGTACTACGATGAGTAATCGCACTGGTATTATATATTTTTTTTTAAATGTAATAAATTAATTTAAAAGTAAAATAATCACAAACAACTACTGTAATAGGTACTGTACATAGAACACCGGATTGAAATGCCTGTAATATTCATTATTACACATAAAAGGTTTATTAATTACGCCTACGATTATTTCTTAATAATGTAATAGATAATAAAATTAAAATTAAAAAAAAAAATTAATTGTGGGAAATGTTTTGGTTTGCATTATTTCAGCTTTCGTGAATTTCTTTGATTAATCACAGAAGCGTGTCTAACAAATACACGGTATTTTTAAACTTAACTTCATTTAAAGTTAAAATTCGGTTACAGCTAAAGTAATTAGTAGCGCTGAGGAACGAGGGCCAAATCTGGTAATTAACATGTATGTGTATATGAAGCGTGTATGAAGTAGATAAATTGAATATTTACAGCGCTATATTAAAATAAAATCAAGACGTTTAAACCATACTAAGTACATAGCGTATAAGTAAGGTAATCAAAGACAAGGTTCGACCTAAATAACTTTCAACGTTATCCATTACATTGGTCTATAGCAAATGATATCACTGGCACTGTTACGGCAAAGGTGTTTTCTGTTGATAATGAAAATGCACTGTCGTTTCTTTTTATGCTAAACCATAGTGATGTGAATGAATGTTATCGATATTATATAAACTTGAACGAAGAAATATGTAGGTTATTGAAAAATTGTTGTCAAGAAACAATTCAATTTTAGGTATGTGTCTGAGTAGTCTATTAAAATTCCTGTAACAAATGGACTATAGGATCCTATTTCAATAGATCAGTCCTCTGTGCTCATCAACCTATTGTTCACCGGCTTCCCAAGCTTTTAAGCAATTAATCACAATGACACAGACATAGTCACAATATTATGTGCTATGAAAAATATCTAATAACTAGCGGACCCGACAGACGTTGTCCTGCATGATATTTCAAGCGATTAGGATATTAAACGAAGTATCGAAGTACTGACTGCAGCGCCATCTGCTGGGCTAATTTGTGAGTCTAAACCATCCAGGGCTCCACCCAAACGCATACCAAAAAAATCATTCAAATCGGTCCAGCCGGTTAAGAGGAGTTCAGTGATATACACACGTACAGTATCTTTTAAGTTAGATCAAACTGCACACGGTGCAAATTTGATTCAAATCTGTTAAGTAGTTTAGGAGTCCATAGCGGACAAACAACGTGATACTTAATTTATATATATTAAGAAGATTGTCACTATTATATCGAACGAGCACAACCCTACAGTAAAGGTACTCTGTGCTATAGTTATTAGACGCAGTGACGCTCGAAGCCCGGCGCTCGTCAGTGGCGCGCCGCCCGCTAACATGATCGCATGTATTTTACTTTCCTAACAAAACGTGACTTTAATTACAACGAAACGAAAAATACGATCAATACACATTCAGTGAAAACAAACCTGTTCTTGAATCGATATATTTACTACTCGTGGTGGCTTAAATATAGGAATCAATCAATCCGTCAATAAAATCACACCACCCGGTGTCAACAATGTAGCCATAGTGATATAAATGTTGACTAGTTGACAATTTAAAATAGAAATATGTAATATTTTTAATGTTATAACTGTAGGATTGAGATATATAGCCGACAATAAGTTTAATTTATATGGTTGGTTGAGAAAAATCCAAAATGGGAAATGGAATGAATAAGGTAAGTTCAAACGTTATTTTACGGAGTGGACTATTATTACGTAACGATAACGTAGCTTTTCTACGAATTGTCGCACGTTTGTAGACCGCTCCGCTACAGGATACGCTACGGCCACTATTATAATTATTAATATGAATAAAAAAATGGGGGAGTTTTTACAGAAACAAAACTACATTCTTGCCAAAATAAATTTATCGAGACGGTGCTCTTTATAAATTTAAACTTTAAGATTACTTTGAGAAAATAAATGATAAAAAAATATAAATAAGAAATCATAAGTCATAACCTATCTTGAATTTAAAAAAAACTGTAATAAACGTATTTTTATAGTTTTCGTTAAGTTTTTGAATTCCAAACAAAATTGTTTTTATTTCAAACACAGTATTGTAGACTTAATAATATATATATATATATAATTCTTCTGTAGTAGTGTGTATGTCACTGAACTATCTCTCAAACGACTGGACCGATTTTGATTAAAATTTTTGTGTGTGTTCAAGGGGATCTGGGAATGGTTTAGATTCACAAATCAGCGCGGCAGATGGCACTGCAGTCAGGTACTTTCATACTTGGCTTAATATCCTAATCGTTTTAAAGTATCATGCAGGACAACGTCTGTGGGGTCCACTAGTAATATATAAAACAATTGGAATTCACGCGTAGTAAATTTTTTTTACAACTATAGTTCTTATAGATGAAAACTAAGGTTTTGCCGGCCCCCCCCTTCCCCCCCCTCCCCTGTTCGGGTGGGCGCCACTTCCCCTTTTTAGTGTCCTCCCCCCCCCCCCCCTCCTCCGCCTCTCTCGCTTTTGTCTTTTCGATTCTTTTTTTTTCTTTCTCCTCTCTCTCTCTCTCGCTCGCTCGTCTCTCTACATGTGGTTGTTTTTTGTTGGACGGATACGCGACAACCACTCTCTCTAATAATATTCCGCCGCTCGTTATTTTGCAAACCCACTCTTGGGCCCCCTACCGTTTATTAGGAATAATATCAATAAGAAATTAGATAACATCAACAAATGTGTCCCATTCGTTTATAAGAATGTTTGTTGGTTACGTTTTTATTCATTTGCTATCGCAGCTTTATAATAAATTCTGTTCGTAAAAATGATGAAATTATTGTGAATCAAAAATTATTGTAAAATGAATCCTAAAACAGATTTAGACCGACAAATTTAAACAATACATTTGCATGCATAATCCCCTTTTTTGAAAAGGAGCACAATTACAAAAAAAATAACTGAAAAAGCGTACTTCTTGGACATGACAATATGAAAAGATGAAGCTCATACAAACAGTGGGAGCTACTAAATTTTAAGATTATCTTAAATAACGAATATAAAACCGCCGCCTAACTTAACTCGGGTCAGCTACCTTTTTTGCTAAACACGCTCTGATTAATGCATACCCTACCTTTAAGAGCCCTAATTATAATAATGTATTAGTAATTATTTTGGTCACGCATGTAATAAATGTATCAAACTACAACACATTATACAATATAATGTATAACAATTTTCATGTATCCACTTTACATGATTAAGTGATAGTGACAATAGCTGTGCAAAAATACTGCGACTGTTTTACAAATTTTGATCAAAAATGAAGAATTAAAAGAATTTAAATTTTATACATTCCGTAATCCGCAAGTTCTGTGAGTTCGATAAGTTTATCAATTTGCGAAAATGTGGGCGAAAAAAATTACAATTTATTTCTAGTTTAGAATCCTACGAAAGTTTTTGAAATTTATAAACTTGCGGATTTTGTTATCTTCTGTTGTCATTATATGAGTCTATTTATTTTTAAATATTGCAAAAAGATCCTCTTAATTAGACACAATTAATTATATTCGTTATAATATATAATTAATTGTGTCGAATTAAAATAACCTCTACTTTAGATAATGCGAAGACGCGTAGATTTGGATGTTTTTCGATTGTTTATTTTTTTGTATTTTCATCAAGTTAGCATCAAATCATCAAGCAAGAAATCGAGAATTATTATAGGCACATTAATTTCGCCTTTTCAAACTTTTAATCACACAAATACCATTTAAAATAAGGCTTTGACTATTTTGCCATATATGCCAAGAAAACTTCTTTTCTTATGCCTCGGTAACTTTTTATTTTAAAGATAACTTAGCGTGGCAGTTCACCAGACACTAAGTGGCTACCTTGCGTATAAAGTTACCAGCTTTGCGTTTGGCAATAGAAAATATAAGTGAGAACCAAATAAAATAAATAAATTAAGCTAAAAATAATTCAAGACCACTGAGGGTATGTCATTTAGTCAGTAGCGACATCTACATAATTGTGTAACTTCTTTATTTTATAATAAAATATTCATAAAATGTTTGTTTGAAAACTTTGTTCGCCATATTGTAGCTTAGGAAAATATTTTTACATAATGTTACCAGTTTCCCTTACAACATTTTCGCGAAAAAGGCAATATATATATGTTATAGGAATCCATTTCTTATTTCTAAAACTTCATAACGAATCAGCGGTGTAACGTTAGTTACGATAGTACTTAGACATATATACTGAATCTGTTGTGATGCGAATTTGCGTTAATGCACGTAATGTACTTCAATGATAATCTTTCTTATATATAATATTCTCGTGTCACAATGTTAGTTACCATACTCCTCCGAAACGGCTTGACCGATTCTTATGAAATTTTATATGCATATTGAGTATGTCTGAGGGTGAGATCTATAGTGCGCACTTGGACTTTGCT